TTAGCCAGGTGTGGTGGCAGGCACCTGTAATCCCAGCTACCTGGGAGGCTGAGGCAAGAAAATTGCTTGAACCCAGGAGGTGGAAGTTGCAGTGAGCTGAGATCATGCCATTGCACTCCAGCCTGGGCAATAGAGCGAGACTCTGTCTCAAAAAAAAAAAAAAAAAAAGAAAGAAAGAAAAGAAAGAATTTCCTAGAACTGAAAAATACCACTTTCCAGATTGAAAGGGCCTACTAGAGTAGATGAAACAGACCAAACCAAGGCATGGCACGCAATGATGAAATTTTAGAACATTGTGCGATGAAGACCCTAAAAGCATCTAGAAAGAAAATAATTAAGCAGTTGTAAAGGATCATGGGTGAGAATGGACCTAGACTTTTTGAAAGCAACACTGGAGTTAGAAGACAATTAAGTGATACCTTCAAAATTCTGAAGGAAAATTATTCTCGATCTATAATACTTAGTCCTCTGGGTTCACAATTCCACGAGCAACATTCACCAGTGCACCATGGAACACAATGAGAATCTTTGCTCCTCGGGTTTGTGCAGTGCAATGCTTTGGCTCTACCCTTCCTCAGGCAGCCATTGGATGATGTGCTTCACCAAGATGAGGGAGTAAACCAAGGAAGGGGAAGGCATGGGAGAAAAGGAACAGAGGAGTCAACATAGGAGAGGGGCAGATAAATCCTCAGACTGCTGGTGTGGGGAGACCCTGGATGGCAGCTGGGCTTAGAAGGCAACTAGTCAGATTCGAGCAGGTCAGAAAGTTCCAAGGGACATTTCTTCAAGATGGTCATTATGGCCTGCATGTTGGTTTCCTCCCCAAATTTATAGGTTGAATCACTAACCTCCAACGTGATGATATTGAGGTGGGTAATTGAGCGGTAATTAGGTTTAGATGAGGTCATGAGGGAGCGCTCCCATGATGGAATTACTACCCTTATAAGAAGAGGAAGAGACACCAGAACTTCCTCTCTCCACTATGTGAGGACACAGTAAAAAAGTGACTGTCAGCAAGCCGGGAAGTGGGCCCCCACCAGAACCTGACCATGCTGGCACCCTGATCTAGCCTCTAGAACTATCAGGAGAAATAAATGTCTGTTGTTTAAGCCACCCAGTCTATGACAGTTTGTTGTAGCAGACTGAACTAAGACCAAAGTGAAAGAGAAATTCCAATTTTGTCTCATCATGGAAGAGGAGTTTTGGCGTTGAAATATGATACACATACAGAAACTGAGCAAAGGGAAAAGAAGACCAGGATTAACAGGGAAACGAAGTTCTGTGGACATGATCATAGCACACGGCATGGCTTTGCTGAGAGTACTGTTTACACTGACCTAAGAATATAACACCAAAGTATCAAGCTAATACAAACTATGGTATTGCGAGGGAGGGAGTGAGTGGTCAGGGTAGACTGGTAATGCAGAGAATTAAGTCTGCATCACTATAATGGGAAGTCAATAAATTATATCTAAAACAGAAAAAAATCTAGAAGTATTTACATACACATGGCATTTAGAAATTTGGAGCTAATACCAAAAGAATCAGCTAAAAGAGTTGAAAATGGTTGGCTTTGGGGAAGGAGCAATGTTATTACTACTATTATTATTTTTTGGAGACAGAGTTTGCTTTGTCACTCAGATTGGAGTGCACTGATGTGATCTTGACTCACTGCAACCTCCGTCTCCTGAGTTCAATCGATTCTTCTGCCTCAGCCTATCGAGTAGCTGGGATTACAGGCACACACCACCACACCCGGCTAATTTCTGTAATTTTTGTAGAGACAAGATTTCACCATGTTGACCAGGCTGGTCTCGAACTCCTGACTTCAAGCCTCAGCCTCCCAAAGTGTTGGGATTACAGGCGCGATCCACTGGGCTCTGCACTATTATTTTTTAAATGAAACCTATTAGAATTTCTTGATTCCTTAAATCTGTGCTTTTCAGACTATCCTTGGTGAAGGAAACAGGTTTCTTTTCAAAATCCTTTGTAAAATACAATACAAATGAATAACGAGCAACAGGCACTTGGATATGGGTAATGCTGAATTGCTACAGATTCTTCCTCTCAATTTTGGCACTTTTATCATGATGGACAAGTAACAGTTTACAGACAAACACTGAGCTGCAGAGACAGTGTTTTCATCTATGATTTATGTATAACATTGACTAAAAAAACACTTTCAAAATGGGTGCACAACAATGTAACTGCACTTAACTGTGCACTTAACGGTTAAGATGGTAAAAAAAAAAATCCAAACAAAGTTGTAAAGGGAATTCACGCCTGCTAGGAGGGCCATAATCAAAACAATGCAAACCAACAAGTGTTGGTGAGGATGTGGAGAAATTGGAACCCTCGTCTATTGCTAGTGAGAATGTAAAGTTATGCAACCAGTGATGGAGTTAGTGGTTCCTCAGAAAGAACTACTGGGAGCGGCGGCGGTGTCGGCAGCGGCTGTAACAAAGAGAGTTTGGCGCGATGTCTCACACCATTTTGCTGGTACAGACTACCAAGAGGCCAGAAGGCAGAACTTATGCTGACTACGAATCTGTGAATGAATGCATGGAAGGCGTTTGTGAAATGTATGAAGACATGGGAAAAGAATGAATCCCAACAGTCCTTCTATCACATATGACATCAGTCAGTTGTTTGATTTCATCAATGATCTGGCAGACTTCAGCTGCCTGGTTTACCAAGCTGATACCCAGACATACCAGCCTTATAAAAAAAGACTGGATTAAAGAGAAGATCTACATGCTTCTTCATCGGCAGGCTCAACAGGCTGAGAAATAACTGTGTTGGAAGCATTGGGGGATGGGGGTGGGCTTGGAACACGGGTGTGTACAGTGTGCTGTAGTGGAAGTTTTGTATCATAGTAATCCTGTTTCCACTTTGTTATACTCTAGCCAAGATTGACTGTATTAGATGAAATGTGAGGATCTTGTTCAATCAGAAACCCCTGTTGCCCCCTCTTTTTTTCTTTTCTTTTTTTTCACTCAAACATTTTTATGATGATTTAGATGGAAGTTGTTCTTTGTTAGTTAATGTTGGTTCCAGTCCTTCAGTCTCCAACTGGGTTCCAGTCCATTCAGCTGGAATGCATAACATTCACTGTAGTAACCCTTCTTCAAGTTGCAGGGGGGGAGGGTGGAAACACAGTTTAGCCATGTCCTCAAGATAAAGTTGTGGTAAAAATAAATAAGTGTTCTTTAGTAAAAAAACAAAACAAATAAAACTACCATGTGATCCAGCAGCTCCACTCCTAAGCACATACCCAAAAGAATTGAAAGCAAGGACTTGAACAGATACTCATACACCATGTTCTTAGCTGCATTATTCACAGTAGCCAAAAGGTGGAAACAGCCCAAATGTCTACCAACAGATGAATGGATAAACACAACGTGGTCTTGCTATACAATGGAACATTATTCAGCCTTAAGATGGAATGAAGTTCTGACGTATGTGACAACATGGATGAGCCTTGAAAACATGCTGTGAAAGGAACCAGACACAAAAGGACAAATACTGGATGTTTCCTCTTATATGAGCTTCCTAGAGTGGTCCAATTCATAGAGACAGAAAGGAGAAGGGTGGTTGCCAGGGGCTGAGGAGAGGAAGGGATGGGACTTGTTTAAGGGGACAGAACTTCTGTCTGGGATGATGAAAAAGTTTGCAAACAGACAGTGATGATGGTTGCACGACATTGTGAATGTACTTGATGCCACTAACTGTACACTAAAAAATGGTTAAAATTGCAAATTTTATGTTATATATTTTCATCACACATAACTTAACAAATTCTTAAAATACCCTAGGTTTAAAGTCTAAAAGGTTTTGGCCGGGCGCAGTGGCTCAAGCCTGTAATCCCAGCACTTTGGGAGGCCGAGACGGGTGGATCACGAGGTCAGGAGATGGAGACCATCCTGGCTAATATGGTGAAACCCCGTCTCTACTAAAAATTACAAAAAACTAGCTGGGCGAGGTGGCGGGCGCCTGTAGTCCCAGCTACTCGGGAGGCTGAGGCAGGAGAATGGCGTAAACCCAGGAGGCGGAGCTTGCAGTGAGCTGAGATCCGGCCACTGCACTCCAGCCTGGGTGACAGAGTGAGACTCCGTCTCAAAAAAAATAAAAAAATAAAAAAAAATAAATAAAGTCTAAAAGGTTTCTCTTGTTAAATATAAAATGAGAATGTTAAATGATAATAAAATAAATAAATGAAAATAACAAAGGGAGAACCCAGAGGATCAGGAAGAGGACGGATGGTGTAGAGGTGGGCGAGTTTTAGAAAGTATCTAGGGAGGAGGTGGAGGAGGAGACTTCGGGAGCAAAGATTCAGTAGCAGGGCTGTGAGGGCTGAATGGGTTATTTTGAGGAACCCATGTGGCTGAAACCTGCGACCGCATGGAGAAGAGCAGGAGATTCAAGGTGGAAAGCTCTGACCATCACTAAAGATTCTGTGAGCAGTGGGTAGCCCGGCAGGGAGGGTTTCAAGCCGGGGATTCACAGAATCAGAACTGCGCTCTACATCAGGGGGCTGCAAACTCCAGCCTGCATCAGAATCACCTGGAGAGCTTGTTTAAACACAGCTTGTTGGCGGGGTGTGGTGGCTCACACCTGTAATCCCGGCACTTTGGGAGGCTGAGGCGGGCAGATCATTTGAGGTCAGGAGTTCGAGACCAGCCTGGCCAACACGGTGAAACCCCATCTCAAAAGAGCTTGTTTAAACACAGCTTATTGGCGGGGTGTGTGGTGGCTCACACCTGTAATCCCGGCACTTTGGGAGGCTGAGGCGGGGCAGAACTGCCTGAGGCGTCGGTATTCCAGGTGGTATTCAGCTCCTACCGCACCTGCAAGAAACCTCATCCAAACAACACAACAACAAAATAACAATGAAACAGCTTCACAGTCTACTTCCCGCTTTCATTAGCAGGATATAGGGCTGGTGGTGGGATGACAGTGGGACAGGCGGTGGGATGTTGAACCCCTCTCTCTTCTCCTAGACACCACCACACGTCTCCTGCTGGGTGCCATTGCGGTCCTTCTGTTCGCCATCTTGGTGGTGATGAGCATCTTGGGTGAGCATGCATGTCAGAGCATTTATGCAATTCAATTTGCACATTCCTTGTTAAAAGCACATCTAATTAGTTAAAGAAACAGTCTAGACGTTCCAAGAATCCTGTGGGGGACTAAGTAAGTAGAAAATACATAGTGTCAGTTGTTGAGATTTTAGCTTAAAATAATATATTCACACACAGACTATACATGTCCCCTTTATTAAGCCATGCAGGTAGAGTGGAGATGTTACTTAGGTATTATTTTTTAAGTGCTGTGAGAACTCAGAACAAACTTGGGGTAGGTTAGGAAGACAGTGCTTCTTGGAGGAGATGGTTTGGGAATAAGGATCATATTCAGTCAGGCACAGTGGCTCACGCCTGTAATCCCAGCACTTTGGGAAGCTGAAGCGGGTGGATCACCTGAGGTCAGGAGTTTGAGACCAGCCTGGCCAACATGGTGAAACCTCGTCTCTACTAAAAGTACAAAAATTAGCTAGCTGTGGTGGTGGGTGCCTGTAACCCCAGCTAGTTGGGAGGCTGAGGCAGGAGAATTGCTGGAACCTGGGAGGCAGAGGTTGCAGTGAACTGAGATCGCACCACTGCACTCTACCCTGGGCGACAGAGAGAGAGAGACTCTGTCTCAAAAACAACAACAACAACAACAACCACAACAACAACAACAACAACAACAAAAACCCCACACATCACATTCAGTCAGCAAACATTTATTGAGTGCTGCTGTGTGCTAAGCTCTGGGCTAAGTGCTAGGGTTAAAAAGAAGACAAATATGACACTGTCTCCTGTGTCCAGGGGTAAGTGCAATAATAGAGGTATTACTGCCCAGTGGCTTCCCAGAAGGAAAACACATGTGCAATGAACCCTGAAGAATGAATAGGAGCTTCCCAGAGATGAGGAGGTAGAGAGTGCTAGGGAGGAAAAAGCTTTTCCTCTGCCCTCTTAAGTTCAGTGTCTAGGGGCCTGTAAATTAAACTATCAAAGACAAATTAGCAGGAGAAAAGGTACCCAATGTTTCTTAATATTTATGTTCATGGGAGTTCACAGATAATAAGTGAAACTCAAAGAAGAATTTAGACTCAGGGGCTTACACACCTTTTTAACAAAGGAAAGAGGGCTTGGGTTTCAAGGGCTGGTAAATTAAGGGAAGTGACTAGGAAATACACGGAGGAACAACAGGAGATAAAGGCTATTTTAGTAAGGTTTGCTTATGCAAACTAATCTTGGTGTTGATTCCTTGGCATATTTGATGATGAGTCACTCTTCCCTCCCTGGTTTAGGGTGGGCAGTGGGGGTATGGGAGGGTATGGGGTGAGGGATGGGGAGTAGGGCAGCTCCCTCCCCAAAGGGAAATTTATGCCCTACTTTCACCCCTGGACTTTTGGGCCACCCCACCCTCCACCCGTCCAGCATGTGCACACTTAGGGAATATGAATGAGCTCATTTAACATAAGCAAGGGGTTCGTGTTGGCTGTGCCTCTGAAATCATGCCATGCCACCAAAGCCAAAAAGATGAGGCTCTGGACAATAGCCAGCCATCGCTACCTCCTACTATGGCAAATAGTTCACAGATGACACTCCAGGCAATCTGATTATCATACACAGCAATTTTTGAGCATCTGCTATGTGTACTACAGAGACCAACAATGGAGTCCCTGCCATCTCGGGGCCACTGTGGAGAGGCTTATCAACAGATGACAGGAGTGGTCAGATGACATAAAGAGAAGAGTCACAAGATGACAAGCCACACAGACACAGGGTCATGTAAGAGGCTCAGTCTTAAGAGGCAGAGATGTTGGGCAAAGGGAGTGGTCACGAGTGCTGCTGCTGCCAGGAAGGCATTCCAGGGAGGCTGGACCTGGACCTTAAAGGAAGGGAAGGACAGAAGTCATTCTTCACATCACACACTCTCCATGGGTAATTCACATGAATGTCGTGTGATGAAGACAAAGGCATCCAGAAAAAGAATTGCCCGTGGGCATGTAGATTTCCTTTCCCAGGGTGGCCCCTTCTCAGCCACTGGCACACACAAACACTTCCCACCCTTCCTCCACAGAGCTGGCCAGCGCAGCAGGTGGCTCACCTGCCACACATGCAGCTGCCCGAGGGCGCCATGGGGATGGGTCTGGGTTCAAATCCTGGCTTTGCCACCTCCCAACAAATCCTGGCTTTGCCACCTCCCAACTGTGTACTATGGGGCAAGGCCTGTAGCCGATGAGCTGGGCTGATCATTCTGACCCGGCAGGGCTGTGAGGAAGATGCATACTACACTAGTTAATCCTCTAGGACAGCACCAAATGCTACCACCCAGTCAAGCTTCTTAAAAAGTCTTTCCTAGGGCCGGGCGCAGTGGCTCATGCCTATGATCCCAGCACTTTGGGAGGCCGAGGCAGGAAGATCACCTGAAGTCAGGAGTTTAAGACTGGCCTGGCCAACATGGCAAAACCCTATCTCTACTAAAAATATAAAAATTAGTCAGGCATGGTGGCACGTGCCTGGAATCCCAGCTACTCGGGAGGCTGAGGAAGGAGAATTGCTTGAACTCGAGAGGCGGAGGTTGCAGTGAGCTGAGATCGTACCACTGCACTCCAGCCCGGGCAACAGAGCAAGACTCCCTTTCCAAAAAAAAATAACTAATAGGCTGGGCGCGGTGGCTCACGCCTGTTATTCCAACACTTTGGGAGGCCAAGGTGGGCAGATTAAGAGGTTGGGAGTTTGAGACCAGCCTAACCAACATGGTGAAACCCCTGTCTCTACTAAAAATACAAAAAATTAGCTGGGCGTGGTGATGCACACCTGTAGTCCCAGTTACTTGGGAGGCTGAGGCAGGAGAATTGCTGGAACCTGGGAGGCAGAGGTTGCAGTGAGCCAAGATCACGCCACTGCACTCTAGCCTGGGTGACAGAGTGAGACTCCGTCTCAAATAATAATAATAATAAATTAATTACTTAATTTAATGAAATAAAAAGTCTCTCCTGGGTATCCTCCATCACGAAGTGCATCTGTGGGTGGCTGTGTGTGTGCTCTGGCTTCTACAAGCCCCCTGCCTACTGGGATTAGGGCTCAACCCTGTCTAGGGAGCACCTTCCCCAGCTCTGAGCTCCAAGGCCAGTCACCTCATAAAGGAAAAATCTGCCCCAGGGGATGAGGAGTGAGACTTGGAGAGATGTGGTCCTATAGACCCTCCTTGCTGAAGGAGCCATGAACTCTAGGGATCAAAAAAAAGTGGCATGTCTGCCCTCAGTGCTGCCGCCTCTAGCTGCTGAGAGCACAGCACAGAGTGCCAAGGCTCTGCAAACTGAGCCTGGTTCAGCCCACAAAGGGGACAGGGGCGGCCTGGCTGGTCTGTAAACTTTGGAAGGATTTTCGACATTTCTAAAGTTGGGTGTGCCAGTGTTTTGTTTTTATCTTGTACTTCCTTCATTGGTAGAAAACAGATTGAAAAAAATCTTAAAACATTGATGACCCTGGATCAGGGCACATGCTCTCCCAAACTGATTTAGAATTGTTGCACGGTCCCAGGGCAAACCTACAGTTAAAAGACTTTATTTGCCACTAGGTTTTAAAAGCTTCAGGCAGCGAGTTTTGGATCATTTAATAAAAAATAAAACCCAGGTCAGATGCAGTGGCTCACATCTGTAATCCCAGCACCTTGGGAGGCCAAGGCAGGCAGATCACCTGTCAGGAGTTCAAGACCAGCCTGGCCGACATGGTCAAACCCTGTCTCTACTAAAAATACAAAAATTAGCCAGGCATGGTGGCACTCACCTGTAGTCCCACCTACTCGGGAGGCTGAGGCAGGAGAATCGCTTGAACCCAGGAGGCAGAGGTTGCAGTGAGCCAAGATTGCACCACTGCACTCCAGCCTGGGCGATAGAGTGAGACTCTTTCTCGGAAAAACAAATAAATAATAAAATAAAATAAAACCCAAAAGGCACAGGTTACCCATTCTGTGTCCTCTCACATTGCTTCCCTGAACCCACAGGGCTGGAGGTAAGCAGAGCTCTGAAGCCCTCGGCCACGTGGTTCTCAGGACCCTGGCAAGGTAATTTACTCACCTTCGACAGCATGACCTGCCTCCGGCATTTCTGCGAGAATTAAGGGAGCTGCCATACGTAAAGGAAACAGTACTGAGGCTTTTGAACCTCGCTGTCTTTGAGGGGTGGATACTGGTGAGAAACACAGGCTTATACGTAAGAGGGGCGCACCTGGGGTCAAGTGCGAGGGAGCTTCGCTCCCCTCCTGCGTCCAGAGATTGCTCCAGCCGAGTCGCCGAAGGTCAGCCACGCCCCTCCTGAAGGCCCTGCTGGTGATTGGCTGTGGCTGCTGTTCGCTGCCCCGCCTCCACAAGGCACTGGGAGGAGCTGGCATGGGCGGCGGGGCTAGGTGAGGGTTGTGCGTGGGCGGAGCTCTCCGGAGAAGCAGAACGCGAGCGGAGGCGTGGTGGAACCCGAGCTCCACCTGACCTTTTTACTCTCTTCTTTGTCTCTGACTCACCCATTTTTCCTCCAGCCCTATGCCAGGGTGTTGGTTCTGAGAGTTACAGCGTTTGGGCGGGGTCATTAAGCCTGCCCGATCCTGGGGATCTCAGAGAAATCAGAACCCAAAGGAATTGGGCGGCTCAGGGAAAAGTAGCCCAGCTGGTTGTCCTAACAACCTAACGGACTCTCCATCACACCTGAAGATTCCCCCACTGGAGAACGCTAAGATAAAAGATAAGCAATTCCTCTTCCTCTTTCTTTCTTCTCTTTCTTCCTCCTCCTCCTCCTGCTGCTGCTGCTTCTCGTCTTCTTTCTTCTTCTTCTTCTTCCCTCTTCCTCCTCTTCCTCCCGCTGCTTCTTCGCTTCTCTTTCTTCTTCCTCTTCCTCCTCTTCCCCCTCTTCTTCCTCTTCCTCCTTCCTTTTCTTCTTCCTTTTCTTCTTTTCTCCTGCCCTTCTCTTTTCTTCTTCCTTTCTTCCTTCTTTCCTCTTCCTCCCTCTTCTTCCTCCTCTTCCCTTTCTCCTTCC